TGCTTTTTGAGAAGTTATTTTCATCAATAAATTTTTGTTTCTGTTTTCCCATTTGGCCAAGTCTACTTTTAAGGTGTTATTTTATTCAGCATTTTTTGCATCTTTTACCAAACTGTTTATTATCTTTTCTTAATTTTTTCTTAGTTTTCATTTCTTTACCTACTTTTTCCTTTACAATTGTTATTGATTTTTAACCACATTCTAGCTCTTCCAGGAATTCTTGTTGGGCTTGTGTTCAATTCACATACTTTCCTTTGAGTTTTTGCTTGTAGCTGTTTTGACTTTATTATTTTCTTCTGAGTTTGTGTCTTGATGTTCACTGTCACTATAGCAATTTTTTGTGGTCAGGTTAAGGTTTGGTTTGTTTACTCATTTTTGACTTAACTTCTTGTTTTTGAGCTTTGTGTTAAATTTGAGCTCTGTTGTTGGTGTGGAGAGGGGAGGGGTACTGTCTCAAACTTCAAGTTTTTTTACACTGCTATTTTCAAGCCAATTTTGGCAATTTGGAACTTTTCAGTGCTTCCAAGATGGTTTGATCTAGGGAAAAGTATGATCACTATTCTCCTGATCTTTGTTCCTTACCCAGAAAGGGCCCCTGATCCCTTGGGATTGCAATTGATACTGCTTTGCAGAGGTCCTCTTACCTCAGACCAGAAACAATCCTATTCCTCAGGGTCCCTGATCCCTTGTGACCAAAAGTGACATTGCTCCTCAGGGCTTCTGCTCCCTCTTGACTGAAAGAGCTCCTCTCTGCCCTTGAACTGTGACCCAGAAGTGGTTATAGGCCATGGTCCTGCATCCAGTGCTAGCACAAGGGTTCTCTGTAATCAATTTCTGAGCAGTTGCCAGGTTCTTTTATTGTCTCTGGCTCAAGAGTTCCCCAAATTCCTGCTACTTCTGTTGCCACCACCTAGTCCCACTTCACTTGGCTCTGCTCCCAGAAGACCAGACAGTGTATCAGTTTTAAAATCTTTCTATAACTTCTCCAACATTGGCTATTTCCATATTTTATCATCTTTGGTCATTTACTCTGTGTGAAGTAAAACCTGAAAGTTATTTTAATTTAAATTTCTCATTATTACTTGGAACATTTTAATATGGTTATTAATAGCTTGCAATTCCTTTGAGAACTGTTTGTGACTGTCCTTTGAGCACCTTCCCTAACAATTCTTGTCAAGTTGAAAGTTCTTCCTCAAGTAATTTGTGTTTTCAAGTTTATTAAATACTGTGTTATAGAGCTCAAATATTTTTAATCCTACCTTGTTTATTCTGTTACAGTGATCTACTTTTATTTTTTTAAATAGCCTCAAATAGTTTTCATGGTATTGCTTTATTTTGAGAACTGAATGTGCTATTGCCTTTTATTCCTACTTCTTTTTCATTGTTTCTCATGATATTCTAGATCTTCTTTTCTTTCGAAGAAATTTTGATATTCTTTTGACCTAGTTCAGTAAAGTAGATTGTAATGACACCAACTGTTAAAATTAATTTAATAATCCATATAACTTAATCATGGTCCAGCCCTGAGCATGAAATATCCCACTAGTTATTTAAGTTATTCTTTCTGTCTTTAGGGAACATTTTGTTATTGTAACTATTCTATCCTAAGAATGTTTTGGTAATGTAACATAGATAGATAGATAGATAGATAGATAGATAGATAGGTAGATACAGATATATAGGTATAATTATTTTGGGTGGGATTTCTCTTTCATTTTTCTCTCCTAGATTTTGTGATTAATATATATAGGAATGCTGTGATTGGTATGTTATTGAAGCTATTGTCTCAATTAGTTTGATTCTCTAAGTAAACCATTATGTCTTCGGTAAATAAGGAAAATTTTCTCTCCTTTTTCTCTATCTGTATGCTTTTGATTTCTCTCTTGTCTTTTCCTCATTTCTAGTGTTTCTAGAACTATGTCAAATAACAATGAGGAAGGGGGTATCCTTGCTTTATTTATGAATTTATTGAGAAAGTTTCTAGTGTTTCCCCATTATGTAGAATGCTGATTTTTACTTTTAGTTAGATATCTTTTTAACTATAATAAGAACATTTATATTATACTCTAAGAGTTGCAAAACTTTTAATATATATTACCTAATTTGATCCTTACAATCCTCGAAAGTAGGTGCTGGGAGACAGGTACTATTACTATCAATGTTTTGCAGATATGTTAAGTGACTTGCCAAGTGTCAGTTAAAGGTTGAACATCTTTTTTTGGGGGGGATAGAATATATTATCCTATTCTGTTTTGTGATTTCTTGTGGATGTGGAATAATTTCATATTATTTAAATTTACTTTCCTTTTGGATAAAAACCGTTTATCATATAAATAATAAGTACTTTAAGGTTTGCAGAGATTTCAAATGTTATCTCATTTGATCCTCACAACCCTGGGAGGTAGGTGCTATTATTATCAACCTTTTACAGCGATGTTAAGTGACTTGCTAGAGTTGATTGTATTTTGAGAGCCTTTGTTTTTTGGGATAAAAAATTCTCATGGCTGTGGAAGAATTTTGTCTTATTTAAATTTCCTTTATTTTATATTTGAAATTGTTCAGTTTAATTACTATGTGCCTTGAAATTGAAGTGTGGGTTTTGATATTTTTTTCCTGGACATAACCTATGGAATATCTTTATTGATGTTTTATAATATATATTAAGAAATTCTGAGGAATTTTCTTGTATTATTTCCTGAATTGTGGTGTTCAGGGTATTTTTTTTGCCATATTCTCCTGGGAAATTTATGACCTTTAAGTTATTCCTGAATACCCTGTTTTAAAAATGAGTTGCTATGAGTTCTATAGAATTTGTTTTTTCCTTTAATGTTGTTGCCTTTTGATTTTTCTGGCAGGTTTTCTTTCAATTGAGTATTTTTTTCCTATTCCTTTTGCTCTCTTTCACTTCTTTAAGAGTATTTTTGATTCTGGATTATTTTTTTCTAATATGTCAATTGAGTTTTAAAATTCTGCACTGAAGGCTCTAATGACCTACATAAATTCCTATTTCTTTTATGAATTTAATTTAATTTTAAAAATTATTTTTGTATTTTCTGTTCCATATTCTATTGGGAGTATTTGGGGATTTTTTATTTTCTGAGCATTAATTCATTTCTCTTTTTTATTATATTTGTTAAGAAAGGTTTGTGTTATCTTTGATAATTTAGCATTCATCCTCACTTCCTGTTTTAGCATCCTCTATGTTGATTTAATTTCTTGTGTTATGGGATTTTATTGAAGTCTTTTCCCCTGAAATATTTGGTATTCTGTTGTTTTTTGCATTCTCTAATCACTAACTTTTTGATCACTCCCCTTTGCTGATGGAGGTATACCCCCAAAGCTGACTTGAAAAGCTGCCTTGTTTCTTGCCCTGAGTATTCTCTGAGGGGACAAATGACCTGTGGTGGTCTTCAGTTTCCTCTCTTTCAGGTTTGACACAACTGACTATGCTCTCTGATTCCTATGTTGGCTATCCCTTGTTTCTCATACCTAGTCTGACCCAGCACCTGCTAAGTTCCGTGGGATAATGTATAAAGAGGAAGGGTGTTCCAGGAAAATCCTTCATAGCCTTGGGATTTCCCAGTCCATACCTTGCCCTAATCAAAAGGCAGTATTTTTTCACTGTATGAAAATGAGAAGGCTTTTTGTTAGATATCAAGTCATCAGGTAATTCACTCTAGAGGGAAACCTCATAAATGTAATGCATGTGGGAGGGATTTCCATCTAAGTAGATTTTTTTTTTTTTGCTGTCTATCAGAAAAATCCATAGTGGAGATAAACTTCATATATTAAATATGAAATGGCCTTCAACTGGAAAAGTGATTTTATTCAATATCATATTGAAAGAGTATGTAATTAACTACATAAATGTGATGAATCTGGGAAGCATTTCAGCAAGAGATACAATCTTTGATTGAAAGTCAGTAATGGAAACTAAAAGAAAACCTTATAGTTGAAGGAATTTTCTAATTTTTTTACTGTGGTTTTCCAAACCCATTTGTTAATCCTCAAGTCCCTGGCCATTTTCCTCCATTATTAATCATATTTGCAACAGCTGATTTTGCCATAGTATTCTCAGGAAATTAAGGGTCTCTGCAACAGGTCCTTAATTCCACCTCTCACAAATTCTTGGAATCATTAACCACTTTGTCCTTCTTTTATTCATAGAAGAAAAGCTATGCCTGCTTCTTCCTAAGTCTATTTTTTCTTCTCCCTAGATCCCATTCCCACTTCCTTACTCCAGCAATCATTCCTTTTACCTGCTGACTCATCTCCATAGGGCTTTCCCTACCATGCCATAGAAACCTCTTTACCCTGGAAACTCATTCCACCCCTGGACTATTTCTCACACTGGAAATACTCTCTGCCCCTGAAACTTCACCTTTTGGTGGACTGATTCCTCTCCATATCTTCAAATTGAGGAGAAGAACTTGGGCAAAATGCCTTCATGTCTCTCAAGATTACAATGCTGAATCATCTCCATTAGACTTTATCATGTCCCCTTGCATGGTAACTTCCTGCCACCCCCTCCTTTTCAACTCTCTGTTATGCATTGTCTCCTCTCATCAATGAAAGCCCCTTGAGGGCAGGGGCTGACTTTCTGTTTGTTTTTTTTTTTTTTTAATTTCCAGTGCTTGGTAAAGTGCCTGGCACATAGTAAGTGCTTAATAAATGCTTGTTAAATGATGGACTAATTTTAGTTCTCTTCATTCTTCACTTTAGTCATATATGACTGGCAGAATCTATTTCTGTTGTTCTTTGGAGAGGGGATGGGTTTTACCAGAATATCAGCAGTGGAGAGAGGTGCACCTAGGTGGCATAGTGGATAGAGTACAGGCCTAGAGCCAAGAAAACTCATCTTCTTGAGTTCAAATCTGGCCTCAGACATTTACTAGCTATGTGACCCTGGGCAAATTGTTGAACCCAATTTGCTTCAGGTTCTTCATCTGTAACATGAGCTGGAGAAGGAAATGGCAAACCACTCCAGTATCTTTGCCAAGAAAACCCCAAATTGGCTCATAAAGAGTCAGACATGATCGAAAAGACTGAACAACAACATCTAGAAGAGTTACTGCCAACAATGGTTAAATAGCAGGATTGTGGAAGGGGAAAGTTTCATTCTAAGGTTCCACAGAAGCCTCATCTCCCCTCAGGGTTAAGGATGAGAGTGATGGCACAGAAGGAAAGTTGCTAACATATTGACACTAAAGAAAGGCTCTTGTAATTTTTTTTTTAGTTCTACCCTTCTATTTTACAGGCAAAGAAAATGAGGCCCATAGGGAGAAATGTATTTGCCTGTGTTCACACAATTAGTAAGTGGTAGAACCCAGGTCTCCTGAGTTCCAATGCAGTGCTTGAATCTCCAAGGTCATATACTTTTTTGGGGGGGGTACTGCTTCTTTTTCTTTTGTTGTGCTCCTACAATTAATAGGCAAAGGAGAACAGCTATTCAAATGACTGACCTTTATTACTTCAGAACCTTCTTATTGAATAAATCCATCTTTTTCTCTTTCTGCCATGCTAGCTACTATAAAATCAAAATGTGCAACACACTTAAGAACTCAGAGAGAAATATCATTACTTTACATGATGATATAGCTTAGCACAGCTATGTAACATTTTAGTTCATTTCAACCTGTCATGTCCATGCTCTTCTTCACAATCAGCCTCTGGAGTGAGGGGAAAGAACAGGACACTGTCTACTGACTGAGATCAAGTAGAAAGAGGAAGGAAGCTGGGCAGAAAAGAAGACTTGGAAGATTCTGTGAGTGTATGTGTCAAGAACAAGGATAAAGGAGGAAGAGTACAGACAGAAAGAGAAATAGGCAGACAATATTAGAGCTAGACTTTAAAAATTATTTACTACCATTTCTTCATTTTACAGATGAAGAAAATGACTCCTGGAGCAACATGTCTGTTCTGTGGTCTTGAAGCTCTGTGGCTCATGCTGTGACATCAGGATCAGGATCAGGATCAGGTTCAGGATCAGGTTCAGGTTCAGGATCAGGTTCAGGTTCAGGTTCAGGTTCAGGTTCAGGTTCGGGTTCAGGTTCGGGTTCGGGTTCAGGTTCAGGTTCAGGTGCAGGCTCAAGATCAGCTTCATCATCGGACTTAGCCTTAGACTCCTCATCAATAACAGCCTTTGCAGGGTATTTGGATGCCAAGATCCTCTCCTTTTCAATGAGGAAATGGAGTTGCTTCTGTGTCAAAACCAACAGCGCCGTGTCCACAACAAATAGAATTCCAATCATCAATGGGAGTAGAAAATGCATATATCTTACAGGACCTACAGAAAATTTGAGAGAGGCAGACAAATGAAACAAGTCTCGTCTAAAAATTAAAATTTGAAAATGATCACTGAATGAGACTCAGAACTTTCTGTGGCTCACTTTTAGTTCTACATGGTCTTAAGATGAGTAGGAGGAATGAAGAGCAGGAGGGAGGCACTCATGATGGTTGGGAGGTAATACAGATTCCCTTCTCGTAAAGCTCCTCCTCTCCATAAACTAGCCACTTTTTAAACCAAAAATTGGGAGCTTGGGTCTGGCAATCAATCAATCAACAAAAAATTATTAAGACCTACTATATTCTAGGCACCATCCTAAGCCCTGGGAAGGAAAAGACTGAAGTGAATCAGCCTCTTCCTTTAAGGAGCTTACACTCTATCAGGAGAGTTGAGGTAGGAGATGATACTAACATCTAGGGAGACAAGAAAAAGCCCCATGCCAAAGATGAGACTCAGGTATAGTCTTGAATGAGACTAAGGATTCTAAGGGGCAGAGGAGTGCATTCAAGACATGAGAGAAAGCTAATACAAAGGCGTGAAGAGGAAGAGCAAAAAAAAAAACCAAATTGATTTGACTGAAGGAAGCAGGAAGCGGAGTAATGTAGGAAATGGGGTGGGGGTAAAGTAATAAATGGCATTAAATGTCAAACTAAGGAGTATATATTTGGTCCTAGAAATAATAGGGAGCCACCAGGGTTTATTGAGTAAATGGGTGAAATGCCCAGATTTGTGATTTAAGAAAATCACTCAGGAAGTCATGGTGGGTCGGGGTGGGGATAGATTGGATTACACAGAGATAAGGGAGTAAGTCCAATGAGAAGGTTAATAATGCAGTAATCTGGGTGAAAGTTATTGAGTACCTGAATTAGGGTGGGTTTGGGGAGAGAGGGGGATATGTGTAAGAGACCTTGTGGATAGAAATGATAAGATTTGGTAACAAACTAATTTGACAACCACACATTAAAGAAACAACGATATTCCCGGTTGCACATTTGGATGACTGGAAACATGGTGGTACCTTCAAAAGAAATATTGAAGTTGGATGAAGAGGATTGGGTTTGGAGGAACACTTGAGTTCCAATTTGGACATGTTGAATTTAAGATATCTGAGGAATATCTAGTTTGAAATCTCCAGTAGCCAGCTGGTAATCCCTAGATGGAGCTCAGTGTAGACAATAGGACTGAACATAATAATCTAGGGTTCATTTACATAGAAATGGCAATTAAATCCATGGAAGCTTATGAGATCATGAAATGAGAGAATGTAGAGTAAAAAGAGAAGGGGGCCCAGAGTCCACTAGATCATTGAAGTACAGCTAGGAGGCATGATGAATACATTGAAGTACATTTAGGAGGCATGATGTGGATACAATAATCCAGCAAAGGAGACTGAAAAGTGGCAGGAAGGGAAAAACGAGAGAATAATATCACAGTATTGAAGAGAGGAGAAAGTATTCAAGGGAAAAAGATGGCCAATAGAGTCAATTGATTTGCAAGGATCAAGAAGAATGATGACTAAGAAAAGATCATCAGATTTGACAATTAAGTGGCCATTAATAACTTTCAATAGAGTGTTTTCACTTGAGACAGTATTTGAAGCCAAATTGTGAGGGGCTGAGAAATAAGCGAAAGGAAAAGAAGTGGAGGTACCAAGTTTAGATGACTTTCTCATGAAGTTTAGCTGATAAGGGGAGAAAAAGTGCAGGAAAAAAAAATAACTACAGGGTATGGTCATATCTTGTAAAGGTTTTTAAGAATGGTTAAAACAGGTACATTTGTAGATATCAGGAAAGGAATTTATAAATAAGGAGAGACAAGTTTAGAGAGAAGCAACAGTAATGATAAGAGCTAACATTTGGATAGCAGTGCTTTGTATATCTCATTTTATCTTCAAATAGCCCCATGAGGAACTTTTCTTTAGTGTATTCATGGTTGAGAAAGAGAATAAGTGACTTGCCTGAGGTCACGCAGGTAGGAAATGTCTAAGACACGATCTGAACTCAAGCATTCCTGACTCCAAGTCCAACATTCTATCCACTGTGACACTTAGCGGCCTCAATTGTGGATGCAGTTTGTTGGGGAACATGGAAGGGAATAGGATTAGGGACAACTGTGGCAGTGTTGGCTTTTGAAAAGGGTAGAGCTACCTGATCATCAGAGACAGGGAGTAAAGGAGGAGAGGATAGTGGGGGAGAAGGTGAAGTCAATGGGGTCTGAGTTATGCAGTGAAGGGGAAGAGAGAGCTCACAATGAATGTGCCCTCTATTTTTTTCAGTAAAACACAAGTTCCTCATAAGAGGCTTGAGGATAGAAAAAAAAGTTTGGAATGTCCACTCAGGGCAGTAGTGAAGAGAATAAACCAGGGTTCAGCAAAAGGACCATTTTGATACAAAGGCCCAATAAAGATTAGATAACAAATTCGTAGGAGACCCAGTCAACTCAGTTGTGTGACTTGATCGAACTCTATCCAGCAACATGCTAAGTAAGGGAAGAGAAAGATGAAGTGAGTAACCTAGGGCTGATGTTTAACAAGGTGTGATTATCAATAGGAGTAGAAGCAAGGAATGGAGAATAAGTGATTGAGTAGTTAACTTAAGTAGTTAACTTAACTTGAGAGGGTAACTTGAGTCAAGATCCAGAAGGGAATAAAGTAAAGCCAGTGCAGGAATGGTGGCCTTGGAAAGAACTAATGGGTGTAACATCTGAAAGTTATGGTAAGGATGAAAATAATCTAAGTTCAGGAAGAGTAAATCATGAGGAAAGATGGACTAAGTGTTGGTTGTATTTTTATAGAGAAATTTCAGAGTTCTTGATCATAGAAGTGGAACTTGTATGGGTGATGGCAAGATCAAAGGTGTGACCATTCCTGATATGGACTAGACTGTAGTCTAGACCAACAAATCTAACAAACAATTCTAACAAATCTTTTTACTAAAGGGATTTGTTCTGTGAGGTTTGGATTCAGTCAAAGGGCTACACTTGAGGACCTAGCGGACCACATGCGGCCTCGAGGCCTCAGGTTCACCCCTGAACTAGAGGAATAGATCCTGAGAACTGAGTAGACAAAGGGGTATTTTTAAGTGACATTGAAACTACATATTCTTTTTTCTTGAAATTGTGACTGTCCCACATAATCTAGGCTATGTGGCTTCCAAACTGATTCACTACTAACCTAAAGGGTCTTTGCAGGTTAAGTTAGAAGTGAAATGTTTGTTTTCCTAGGACTCCAAGATCTAAAGAAGAAGTGGGCAGAGGAGATGGGATGGGACTGCTTAAAATAAGGGGCAGAACAAGCCATTTAAAGTTAATTAGCTATTAATTGGCCTATTGGTGAAATAATCAACAAATAACTCAGTCAAATATTTACTAGGTCCATGCTATTTTAAAATAGGAAGGATGGCATAGGTGACCATTAAGTTAGTTTCTAGCTCTAACATTATATATGTTAGATTTTATGTACAAGGCACTAGTCTCAATAAATCTTGAATTTGGTGTGGATAACGTCCACAAAACAGATCAGAATAATGCTCAAAATGTTAGGTAGATTTTCTAGGGGCTCCTTTAGCTTCCTCAGAAAATGCAACAAGGGTAAATTTCCCCATAGATCATGGAATTAACATAGATTGCCTTCTGGGAGAGGCCTGTTCTACTTCCTTTTTACCCTCTGTCTCCACTGACATTCTACTCTTGCCACCCAAATAGTGACTTCGAATGTCAATTCAGATCTTTACTCCCAGAAGTTTGAGATACCCTTCTGAATCCTAGAGTCCTTTATTAGCTATTTTTCTGGATCCTGATGATAAGGAGTTCCTTACTTTGATCCTTACCTTTTTCAGCTTTGAAATCAAGATAGAGACTCTCTGAAGTGTAGGGTATCCTCCATAGGATGCCAGTGCAGTGGTAGAAACCTTTGTTGTTGCTTGTGACAAAAGGAATGGAGAAGTTGTAGTTCTCATACCAGTATTTGAGGGCTTTATTATTATGGTAGAAAGTCACCTTATAGACATTTCGGTTCTTCCAACCATGGCAACTCAGAAGTAGGGATTCTCCCTCTTCTATGATTGTAAGTGAAGCTTGGAGGAGCAGCCAGTCTGAAAGCAACATTGGAAAAAATCTCAGGGGCTTTTCTGTGGTTTTGACATCCCCTCCCAGTCCCTGCAGTATAGGAAGAATGGAGAGGTTGGGGGAGATGGGGACAGAGTAGAATCTTTGATTTTTCTTTCAGAGATTCAACTAAACCAGTCTTTTTAAACTTCTTTAGTATCATGAATCTTTTTGGCAGTGTGATGAATCCTAGGGAACCGTCCTATCAACCTTTCTTTAGAATTAAAAAAAAACATTACTATTAAAAAACTTTGATCTATGGATTCTTTAGTCTGGGTCAGGACCTATATCTTGAGCCTATTTTAACTGTTTCTTCCCCAAGCTAAGCTACAGATTATTCAGGCACAACAAGCCCTCACTGGGAGTCTTAACTTGTGAGAAAGTCTATTTTATCCTCTTCTATTCATCCATGAGTATTTCATAGTTCCTTCTTTCATTCTTTCTATGATCTATTCAAAGCATGGGGTCATGATTAGACAACTATCCACACTGGGACCTACTTTCCTGGTCACCACCAACACATGTTCTACTTCCAGCCCAAATCTCACAGCTATCATCATGGGAAGTAATCCCTGTGGAGATGTGACCTGGCATTTGCTCTCAGGATGCTGAAATTCCTGCTTCTTTAGCAACCACACTTACCAAAGACCCAGAAAATAAAGTTCAGTTCTTGGCATTGTCAAATGGTTCAATATCAGAAATGGATATAATTTTCAGTAGAAATGACATTAGAGAATATGCATTACCATCTGTTTTGTCATTGCATCATCTGTATCATGGGACCTTTCCATATGATTTGCTGCTGAAACCTTCTGTTTGTTATCATTCCCATTAGAATGTGAGTTCCTTTCACTACTTGACAAAAACTTCTGGGAAAACTAGAAAACATTATGGCAGAAACTAGCTATAAACCTATAGTATCTTATACCATATAACAAGAGAAAGTCAAAATGGGTACCTGATTTAGACATAAAGGTTGGTACCATAAGCAAATTAGGAGAACAAGGAATAGTTTACCTGTCAGATCTACAGATTAGGGAAGAATATGTGACCAATCAAGAAATAGCATTATGAAATGTAAAATGGATTATTTTGATTATATTAAATTAAAAAGGTTTTGCACAAGCAAAACCAATGCAACTAATATTAGAAGGAAAGTAGAAAACGGAGAGACAATCTTTATAGCAAACATTTCTGATAAAGACCTTATTTCTCAAATATATATATAACTGAGTCAAATTTATAAGAATACAAGCCTTTCCCCAATTGATAAATGGTCAAAGGATATAAGCAGACAGTTTTCAGATGAAGAAATCAAAGTTAACTATAGTCATATGAAGAAATGCTCTAAATTGCTACTGATTAGAGAAATTCAAATTAAAACAACTCTGAGGTACCACCTCACATCTATCAGGTTGGATAATATGACAGAAAAGTAAAATTATGAATTTTGGAGAGGATGTGGGAAAAAGTGGTACACTAATACACTATTGGTGGAGTTGTGAACTGATCCATTGATTCTGGAGAGCAATTTGGAACTATGTCCAAAAGATAATCAAACTATGCATACACTTTGATCCAGCAATACCACAACTAAGTCTGTATCCCAAAGAGATCACAAAAAGTAGAAAACAACCTACATGGACAAAACTATGTATAGCAACTCTTTTTGTGGTGACAAAGAATTGGAAATTGAGGGAAATCTATCAGTTGGGGGATGGCTGAACAAGTTGTGGTATATGAATGTAATGGAATACTATTGTGCTATAAGAAATGATGAGTAGGGGTGCGGAGCCAAGATGGTGGAGTGAAAGCAGAGACTTGCTTCAGCTCTCCCCCAAACCCTTCCAAATACCTATAAAAATGGCTCTAAAGAAATTCTAAAGCAGCAGAACCCACAAAATGACAGAGTGATACAAATTTCCAGCCCAAGATAACCTGAATGGTTGATCAAAAAGGCATATCGCACCAGGAGGGGAGAGGAGCACAGGTTGGCATCGGCATGCCAGCCACAGAGAACCTGGAGCAGGCCTCAGAGGACTGAATCATGGGCAGCTGTGGCAGTTTCTAGACTTCCCAACCCATGAATGCCAAAGACAACTTAGAAGGTCAGTGGGAAAAGTCTGTGACTGTGGTGCTGAAAGAGAAGCACAGTGGGGTTCCAGCCCCATTCCCAGGGGCAGTGGCTGTTTCCTGATCTTCTGGCCCACAGACTGAGGGGGAATCAAGTGGCTGATCAGAGGGGATTGCAGGGACCTCTCTGCTGGTGCAGGATTCTCTTACTTTGCCTGTGCTTAGATCTGGGTCACAGTTCTGGGTGGCGGTCCTGGGAAGAGGAGGAGTGTTGGTGTGGTAGAGCTTGTAGTGGCTGTGGAAAGGAAACCCTCCTCATAGTTCCAAGACAGAAAAGAGTGCTTGTGGTCACTCACAGACCAGAGCACAGGCCAGCAAAGGAGTAAACACCTTGCCCTTGATCATAGCACCTTGGAAGAACTGAAAATTTACGAGTCCCTAGAAGTATATCTGAAAACAGCTGCACAAAACCCCTGAAGCTTGGGACAGTACATTCTCCACACTAGAAACAGACTCCTACCTTAACAAAGAGTCTATAACTCAAGTAATTGGCCAGGATCATGAGCAAACAGCACAAAAAAAGTCAGATTACATTATCTTACTTTGGTGACAAAGAAGATCAAAACATACAACCAGAAGAAGACAATGAAGCCAAAGCTCCTACATCCAAAGTCTCCAAGAGAAATATAAATTGGTCCCAGGCCATTGAAGAACTCAAAAAGGATTGTGAGAAGCAAGTAAGAGAAATAGAGGAAAAAACAGAGTGATGCTAAAGGAGACTCAAAAAAATACTGAAGAAAATAACACCTTAAAAAATAGCCTAACCCAAATGGCAAAAGAGGTCCAAAAAGCCAATGAGGAGAAGAATGCCCTTAAAAGCAAAAGTAGAATGGGGTAAAATATCTCACATGAAACAGACAAGAAAAGTCTTTTACAGTGGAGGGGAAATGGGGGAAGGTGAAAGGGAATGAGGGAATCTTATGCTCATAGGATTTGACTTAAGGAGGGAATAACATACACCATGGGGTATGGAACTCTATCTTACTCTACAGGAAAATAAGGGGGAAAGGGGACAAGAGAGCAGGGGGTTGATAGAGGGGAGGGCAGATTGAGGGAGGGGATAATCAAAAGCAAACACTTCTGAGGAGGGACAGGGTCAAAAGAGAGAATAGAATAAATGGAGGGGGTAGGATAGGATGAAGGAAAATATACTTAGTTTTTCACAACATGACTACTATGGAAGGGTTTTTCATGAGTATACATCTATAACCTATATTGAGATGCTTGCCTTATCAATGAGGGTGGGTGGGGAGGGAGGAAGGGAGAAAATTTGTAACCCAAAGTTTTAAAAACATATGTTAAAAATAAAAAAAAAATTTAAAAAAATGGTGAGTAGGCAGATTTCAGAAAAACCTGGAAAGGCTTACATTAACTGATGCAGAGTGAAGTGAGCAGAGCCATAGGAACATTATATACAGTATTAGCAACATTGTGTGATGATCAACTATGAACAACTTAGCTCTTCTCAGCAATACAACCATCCAAGACGGTTCCAAAAGACTCATGATGGAAAATGTTACCCACATCCAGAGAAAGAACTGATGGAGTCTGAATTCAGATCAAAACATACTGTTTTCACTTTTTTTTTTAATGGTTCTCTTCTTTTGACTGATTTCTTCTTTTACAACATGACTGATACAGAATTATGTTTCACATGATTGCATATACATAGCCTATTTAAATTACTAACCATCTTAGGGAGAGAGGGAAATAATTTGGAACTCAAAATTTAAAAAAAGTTAAAATTGTCTTTACATGTAATTGGAAAAAAGATACTATTAAAAAAGAATATTGAATTCCTTGAGAACAAGATTGTCTCACTTATCTATTTGTATTCTTGATGCTTGTAACCATACTTTGCTTATAGTAATTAATTAATGCATTTCCATTCATTCATTCATTTATTCAATCATTCATCCACTCATTCTTTCATTGCTATGACAAGGGGTGGGAATACAAGAATGAGTCTTACTATATAAGCTTCTTAAGATCAGGGCCTGTTTTTACCTTTCTTTATTTACCCAAATTTTAAAACTTTTTATGTTCCTGGCACATAGTAAATCCTTAACAAATGCTTATTGGTTGAAACTTCTAGAGACTAGTGACATCCTATATAATGACAGAACTGCATCGTGTTGAAGTTGGAAGAGACTTCATAGTTGAAACTGTATTGGAACAAAAACTTCCCCCATGATATACCCAACCAGTTGTCATCTTGTCTTTGACTAAAGACTTCTAGGTGCCTCCTGAGATAACTTTGGGATACCTCAAATTATTAAGAAACTTTTTTATATCAAGTTGAAATACTCCTCTTTCACCTTTATTTCTAAACTCTCACCTCTGGAACTAAGCACATACATCTAACTCCTCTTCTACCTGAAAGCCTTTTGTTGTTGTTGTTGTTTATCCTTCCTTCTCAAAGAGAACCATGATATCAGGGAGGTGATGCCATGACATGTGAGTGAATTGGATTTAAGTGATGGAGGGCAGTGCAAAGTCACCAGCCTCACTTTCTCCTCCAGAGCCATCTGGATCCACCGGCAAGACAAAAATCAGGATGACTGGAGATGGCCCTGGATGCAGTGGCCTTTTTACGCTGAGGTCTTTAACAGGTCTCAGTTTGACTGAGCAATGCCCATTTAGTGATTAGGACTAGGTAAGAAATGAAGGAGAGAATGGCTTCTTCCGCCTAGTTAAAAAAATCATTCTGGGAGTGGTTTCTGGCCAAAACAGAAACAATTGCTATTTACATTCACTCTGAGCCAATCATCATCCAAGTAATGACCAAGTGGGGCTTGACCTGGGACCTATTGTTGGCCAATCAATGAGAGCAAGAACAGTTTGAGTTTAAGGCATGGTCCTAAAGAAGAAAAAAAAAGTCTAAAACCCAAAGACTCCAACTTCTGGGATAAGAACTCACTATTTAACAAAAATGGCTGGGAAAACTGGAAAATAGTATGGCAAAAACTATGGGTAGACCAACATGTTCACCGTATACTGAGATAAAGTCAAAATGGGTATACAATTTAGATATAAAGGCTGATACTATAAGCAAACTAGGAGAGCAAGGAATAATATACCTGTCAGATTTATGAATGGAAGAATTTATGACCAAATAAGAGATAGAGAACATTATGAAATAAAAAATGGATAATTTTCATTACATTAAATTGAAAAGTTTTTGCACAAACAAAGCCAATGAAACCAAGAAACAGAAAGCTGGGAAACAAGTTTTACAACCAGCATCTCTGGCAAAGGCCTCATTTCTCAAATATAAAAAGAACAGAGTCAAAATTATAAGAATACACATCATTCTCTAATTGATAAATGGTCAAAGGATATGAACAGGCAGTTTTCAGATGAAGAAATTAAAGTTATCTATAGTCATGAAAAAATGCTCTAAATAATTATTGATTAGATAAATGCAAATAAAAACAACTCTGAGGTACCACATCACACCTATCAGATTGGCTAACATGACAAAACAGGAAAATGATAAATGTTGGAGAAGATGTGGGATAATTGGAACACTAATGCACTGTTGGTGGAGTTGTGAACTGATCCAGCGATTCCGGAGAGCAATTTGGAACTATGCCCAAAGGACTATAAAGTGTATGTACCTTTTGACCCTACAATACCACTTCTAGGTCTGTATCCCAAAGAGATTATTCAAATGGGAAAAGGGCCCACATGTACAAAAATATTATAGCAGCTCTTTTTGTGGTGGCCAAGAATTGGAAATTGAGAGTATGTCCATCAACTGGTGAATGACTGAACAAGTTGTGGTATATGAATATAATAGAATACTATTGTTCCATAAGAGATGATGAGCAAATAGACTTCAGAAAAACCTGGAAAGACTTACATGAACTGATGCAAAGTGAAGTGAGCAGAACCAGGAGAACATTGTATATAGTAACAGCAACATTGTGTGATGACTAGCTTTGATAGACTTAGCTCTTCTCAGCAAGGCAAGGATCTAAGACAACTCCAAAAGACTCATCATGGAAAATGCTATCCACATCCAGAATAAGAACTATGAAGTCTGAATGCATATTGAAGCATACTATTTTCTCTCTCTCTCTTTTTTGTTTCTTCTTTCTTGTGGTTCCTCCCATTGGTCCTAATCCTTCTTTACAACGTGAGTAATGTGAACATATGTTTAATAATAATGTATACGTAGAGCCTGTATTAGATTGCATGCTGTTTTGGGGGGGGGTGAGAAGGAGAGAAAATTTAAAACTCAATATCTTATGGAAGTGAATGTTGAAAATTAAAACTAAATTAATTATTAAAAATAGTAAAAGAAAAAAAAGAAGAAAAAAATTTAGTCCATAAAGCCCAAGATATCTTGTAAGGTTTCAGCGATCAAAATTTACATTCCTTTGTGCAGAACACCTGCAGGTAAAGGTATGATTCCCTATGTGGACAGAGGGAAGGGAAGGGAAGGGAAGGGGAAGGAAGAAAGGAAGGAAGGAAGGAAGGAAGGAAGGAAGGAAGGAAGGAAGGAAGGAAGGAAGAGAGAAGGAGAAATAGAAAGGAGCTGTGTTGCCCAATTGACCAGTTCCAGTTCAGTCCCCAGTGGGCCAACTCCTACTACCACTCACAAAGATTGTTGCTTATCCATTGTTCTGAAAGAGGACAATGACAAAGCCATGACATGCAAGTGAATCAGATTTAAGTGAGGGGGGGCTGTGCAAAGTGACCAGCCTTACTTTCTCCTCTGAAAGCCTATCAAATATTTGAATATAACTATCATGTCTCCCTTAATTCTTCCCTTTTCCTTGCTAAATATCCCCAGTTCCTTCAACTGATCTTCACAGAGCATGGTCTCAAGATCCTTCACTGTTCTGGTTGCTATCTTCTGGCCAATCATCAGTTTATCCAGTTACTTCCCAAAGTAGAGAGAGAGCTCAGAACCAACCAGATGTGGTCTGACCAGAGCAGATTCCAATGGGGTTATCACTTATCTAAGGCTGGAAACTATGTCTTCTTTAATACAGCCTATTTTAGTTGTCATACTGAGATTATTGAAATTGTTTTATTGACTGAAATTGAAACTGCAGTCTCCACTCCAAATCCTAGGATCCTTTCTAAACACACACACACACACACACACACACACACACACACAGAGTAGTCATGTCTTTTGAATCCTGTAGAGTTGAGTTTTTAATTCAACTCTGAGGGTTTATATTTATCCCTATTGAATTTGATCATAATACAGCAGAGGATAATAGATTTAGAACTGGAAGGCACATCTGAGGCCCTCTAGGCCAATGCCCTCATATTCCAGATGAGGACACACAAGAATGGAGAGGCTATCACTTGACTAAGAGCATGCAGGTAATAAGCATCAAGGCAAGATTTGAAATGAGGTGTTCTAACTCCAACCAGAGAACTTTCCTTTACACCATCTTGATTGTCCAAAACTTAATTCTGTCAAGATTTTTTTTGGATCTTAACTCTATTTAACTATCTTTCCAGCTTGGTGCCATCTGCAAATCTGGTAAGCTTTCCATCTGAACATTTAACAAAGTCTATGATAAATGCTAACCTCAGTTTCCTCATCTGAAATATGGGGATAATAATAGCATTTACTTCACAGAGTAATTGTTAAGGATCAAATGAGATAATATGTATAAAGCACTTTGTAAATCCTAAAGCATTGTATAAATGATAATACTCCTCCTCCCACTCCTATTCTTACTGTTATTACATGGAGGCAGTCTTTTCAAGTGAGTGATTACAATGTGCCAGGCACTGTTGCAATCAATTGGCCATTCAACCAGTTCCTAATCTACCTAATAGTATTATTATAACTCATATTTCTTTGCTTTATCCACAAAAATAGTATGAGATGGGTTGTCACATGCATTATTAAAATCTTGATGAACTCTATAGGAAGCATTTGATTGTTCAACCAGTCTTTTAACTCTGTCAAAAAAAAATAATGAGGTTAGTTGAGCATGAGCTATTCTAGATAAAGATACACTGACAACATGACTCTAGGTGCTCCTACCCCAAGCTCCCTCCTAATACAGTTAAGAGGTCCTAGATCAGCCCTGCAACCTATCTATGACTGAGGCAATTTGAGACACATGACTTTGAGTTAACCCCTTTCCTAGCTCCCCAATATGAACCCTACTATCAAGGAAAGCTGGGGCCCTGGAATCAAACCAGTCCTAAGTCTTGCACAGAAGTAAAAGGGGTGGTAGTGGAAAACTAACCAGTATGGAGAACCAAAAAGACCTCATCCAGGCAGTCAGGCAGGAAGAACCACTGAAAGGTACTCCTCTCTTTCCTTAGCTTCTCTACCAATTTTCTGGATGCCATGGTGGAGGGGTGGTCAGGTGGAAAAAAAATAACATGGACGTTCATTCCATTTGGATTAGCTGCAAGTCAACAGCTATAAGATTTCTGGTGATTTCAGAATCACCAGGCATTGTCATCTATCCTTCCATAATGCCCTACAGATCCCTGGGCATTGTACTATCTGATTTGTGGATGCACTCTAAGGAACCTGAACCTTGGCATTCACACTAATACTGAATATTTAGAATGTTCAGGCCTACTCAACTTTCCTGTAAATCTGTTGCTTTATACATCTTGTCTTTACTGATTAGAATGTGAACCCCTTGATAGCAGAAGCCATCATGTTTGTTTCTTTGTTTTTTATTCATATATCCAACACTTAGCCCAGTGCTTAACACATATTAGTCACTTGAAAAATGCTTTTTCATATAACCTTTGCCCCATATCTCCCTAGGTCCAATACTTACCACTGTAGACTCCTATATATGTAGGGTCACTGAGGGTAGAATCACTTGTCTTGCACCTATAGTATCCACTGTTATTGAGGTTGGCAAAAATGATGCTATAGCTGGGAGTTTGAATTGAGGTGCTGGAACCATTGTGGAACCACTGGGTCTGGTTGCTATGTGAAGTGCCTGATCCCTTACAGTGAAGGGTCACATTCTCTCCCCTGTAAATTCTGTTCCATGGAGGATTCAAGGACAGTAAAGCCTTCGAAGTATACTCTGTAGGTCAGAGAGTAGAAAGAGAGGCAAAGAAAATGATACTTGAAAAGATGTCCAATCTCAGAAATTCAGACATTCAAAAATCCATTTAAAGTTAATCAGTTGTCTCGACTTGCTCTGAGGCCCTGATATTCTGGGCACTGAAGGGAGACCCAGAGGGAGATGAGTCCCTGCCTTCCTAACATTCCTACCAAATATAGTAACCTGTTCTCTATTGTCATCCTTCTTGGACTCTCTGCAGCCTCTAGTGCTGTTGATCACCCATTTCTCTTGATGTTCTTTTTGTGTGTGTGTGTGTGTGTGTGTGTGTGAGACAATGCTTTCTCTTGGTTCTCTTCTACCTTGTCTGACTACTTCTCAGTCTCTTTTGCTGGATTTCATCCATACCATTTCCCATAACTGTGGATATCCTCCATGAGCCCTTTTCTCTACTCCCTCTCTACTGTCTCGCTTGGTGATCTCATTAGCTCCCATAGATTCAATTATCATCTACATGCAGATAATTCTCAGGTCTATTTGACCAGCCCTAACCTCTCTCTGGATGCATTGGATGACAGAGCCAAGATCCAAAAAAGTCTTGACAGACTTAAGTTTTGGACAATCAGCATAGTATAAGGGAAAATTCTCTGGCTTAAAAGTTAAAGAACCTTGGTTCAAATCCTGCCTCTGATGCTTATTACCAGTGTGATCTTAGTCAGGTCACAGCATCCCATACTTTAGTTTCCTCATATGTAAGAATGTAAGATCATTTCCAGCTCTAGGTCTATGATCTTCTTCTCTAATACCATCAAATTCAGTGGGGATACATGTAAACTCTTACAGTTGGGCCAGTCAGCCAATAAATATTTATTAAGTGCCTACTATGTGCTAGGCACTGTGCTCAACATTGAAGATACAAAAAAGGGCAAAAGACAGTCCCTGACTGCAAGGAACTCCCTAATCTAATAGGAGAAACAATAAGCAAATAAATATGCACCAACAAGCTATATATAGGAGATTATTAAGAGGGATTTAAAAACTCAACTTCACAAGGATAAGATGGAAACATATACAACTGGGAAATAAGATATACAGGCAAAGGAGTATAGAAATCTATCCTGCCCTACAGGAAAATAGAAGGGGAAAGGAATAAGAGAAGGGGGGAAGTGATAGAAGGGAGGGCAGATTGGGGGAAGGTACATTCTAAATATATGCCGTCTTGGAGTTGGTGGAGGGGAGAGATAGGGAGAAAATTTGAAACTCAAAATCTTATGGAAGTGAATGTTGAAAACTAAAAATAAATTAATTAATTAATAATAAAAAATTTTAAAAAATAAATAAGGACAAGCTTACTCTTGCAAATATCACCTCTTTATATTCAGCAACCATCCCTTTCACAATGCACTCCTGATTTTTTTTTTTTTTTCAGGAACTGAAGTCAAGTCATTGTTGGCAGAGTCTATCCTCTTTCCTTTTTAGGAGTTCAGGGCAATATTTGCCTTTCTTCAATATGTGACACCTCTTCTGTTCTCCACATTCTCTCAGGTAGCTCTTACAGAATCATAATTCAGCTAGGCCTAGTGATGCAAACTCATCAAAGGCATCTAGGTGCTTTCTTAATATTGCTCTACCTGTCTTAGGCTTCATTTTTTTTAATCACTTATTTGTTCTGTCCTTTCCAATCCAAAGATTATTCTTCTTGGAAGAGAATAGAGAGGTAAAAATAAGAGTGACAATTCTGTAATTTCTCCATTGCCAGTAATCATTATATTTTGCACTCCTACCCTCTGCAAAGCTCCTAATCCTTTTTTGATTGTTCTTTTAAAAAAAACTTCTCTCCCCCCAAACAAACAAAATTTTTTTTCAGTTGTCCCTATTTCCTGTTAGCCACAGTCCATAGTAAATATAAAGGGTAGTATGGGGGAGTGGGGAGGGGAGATTGACCTATAGGAATCTCATCCTTCAAATATGGGCAGCAGTGTTTTGCTTGCTACATATCCACGTGCAGACTTGCCAAGATTTCCTCTGGGCATGAGTAATAGAAAGACCATTACTCTACTTTAGAGCACGCATGGATATCCTATGATTATTTCTTATCCACTATCCGTGTTGTGAAGAAACAAGAGGTTTGACTGGCACATATACTTTAGGAGTCCTGGCTGCATTCTTACAGGAGTGATCTGCACTTGCTCTTTGTGCATGTCTTCTCTTTATTGTTGTTGTTGTTGTTTTTTTTGTTTTTTTTTTTTTTTGCTTTTTGGTGAGGCAACCGGGGTTAAGTGACTTGCCCAGAGTCACACAGTTAGTGAGTGTTGTGTGTCTGAGGCCAGATTTGAACTCAGGTTCTCCTGACTCCAGGGCTGGTGCTCTATCTACTGGCACCTAGCTGCCCATGTATGTCTTTTTTAAAAACTCTAAATTGGTCTCTTGGTACCTAGTGCAACCATGCAGATCTCTTTAGAGGTTGTCTGTTGCTTTAGAGGAGTCCACTGACTCTTGTGTTCTGTCTTTTGTGAACATCTAGTTATCCAGACTGCTATTCATTGCAGCTACTCTCTGTCCTGGCATCTGGCCTGGTGGATTTACACAGTCATCAGCTCTTTCATCCTTTAATTTAAAAAGCTTTTTGATTATATTTGCATAGCTTCAGGCAAAAATATTTTTTTTCAACCTTTCTTGGATGTACTTTGGAGTCTGTGATTTTTATGTTTAAAGATATGCTATGGACTCCAACACCTGAGTAGAAGTTTCAGTGGAATCAACATGTAGCATTCATGGTGCAATATATGCATACAATGCTAACAAATCAAAGTTTCTGACTTAAACCCGAAGGATCTTGTTAGCTGGAGCTGTTTTATGTCTGGAAGAGATGTTGAGTGGGGTGAAGAATAGCCTTGTGGAGGGGAAAATTCCCATTCCAGCCAAGGTTCAGAGAGAGATATAGACCAGAGGTGAAGAACCTGTGGCCTCCAGGTCACATGTGGCCCTCTAGGTCCTCACTTTGAATCCTTATTTGAATCCAATTGGATTTCATCAGAGGGCTGCACTTGAGGACCTAGAAGGCCATATGTGGCTTCAAGGCCACAGGTTCCCCAATCCTGAGATAGACTCTTCCTTCCCCCTCCTACTCCATGGAAGAAATAGCTGCAAAGTGGCCTCGCCCATCTTGGTTCAATTGCTGGATGTATGAGGTCTCTGACTATGCAAAAAAATTACTGGGGCTTTAAGCTGTAAGAGTAATCACAGAGCCTATTCTTCCTCTAATATCAAAGAGACAGCACCTCAGATGATGACCCCAGCGAAAGCCAGCAACTGGAAGTGGGGAAAAACTTCACAACTTCATGGCAATCTGTAGTGTCACATGTGGAGAGAGGAACACTGACCAAGTGTTGACCATTCAGGACCAGCAGAGGGCCACACCAGGCAAAGCTATATACCACACCCGCAGGAATGACAGAGACTAGACATTTAACAAAGACTATGCAATGAACGACCAGTGGAAAACAGGGTTAATAGGAATAGCACAAAGACATCATTAAGGTGATCCTGTGGAGTCAGGACCTTAGTTTCCCTTCCATGAGTGAGACTTGACTACACGTGCTCTCTACATATGAGCTTCTCCTCTTGATCATTATGTTTGCTTACTTGTCCTATTGATGTCTGTGTGTGTGTGTGTGTGTATGTGTGTGTGTGCATGTTGAAAAGTTTACCTGGGTTTCTGGGGAAAAGATTTATTGCTATTTTCTGACTTTGCAGTTTCATCAAGTGCCTTTGCTTCAAAACAAATGTATATTGTGGTGACTAGAAAACTAATCATGCTGGTGGGGCCTCATAAACTCTATTTTGGATTGGACCTACAAAGTACCTTGAATCTGGGGTAGCCTTTTAGGGGGGACCCACTGTGAGAGGTGAGTTTTACCTTCAAGGTTTTATATCTATTTTTGAGCAGGCGGAATACAGCGGAATGGAATAAAAATCTTAGAGTGGAAATACAGAGAGGGAAATCTTGGGAGGAAGGCAGAGTGAGAGAGAGCTATCCTGAGGGTGGCTCTACCCTCATTACACCAAATAAAATATGTTAAGAGCCTTCAAATGCAGAAAGTAAAAATATAATAGGAAAAGAAAAAGCAAGAGAATCCATTCTAGAGTTGTTATAGGAAAAAAACCCTGAAGATCAACTTGCCAGCCTATAACTCTGGGCATACCTGAGGAACTTATCCCTTCTTCTTTACCTTTTCCCAACCCTCTTGTGGACCTAAGGTGACTCTGTGACATCCAAGGCTGTGGCAATTTTAGGCAATAACTTTTAGAGTTAACTCCCTGATTGTGTGTGTGTGTGTGTGTGTGTGTGTGTGTGTGTATCAAAGTTCATGCTACTAGGACAGACGAAAGTCTTATCGCTGTAGATGCTTTCACCCTCAACACCCTTCCTCACACACATTTGGAACTGTCCCACAGCATCCCTGCAACCTATCCATGACTGAGGCAAATTGAAACACTTGACCTTCAGAGTGAACCTCTTGCCAATGTCTCAGTGAAAATCCCACTACCATGGCAGTTGAGGTCCAGGAATCAAATCAGTCCTAAGCTTTGCAAAATAGGAAAGGGGGTGGGTGTGGAGAACTGTCTGGTAAGGAGAATAGGAAAATGAGGAAAGGAGGAGACCAGAAATGCACCCCTGATTAGAACTATTTTAACATAGCATAGGAAGAAATAGGCAGAATATAGGAGTGAGAGAAAGGACAAAAATGATACATATGATATATGTAAATATATTCATTTATATGAAATACCAATATTCACAAGAGATATTTGGCATATGCATATATATATATATGCATAAATGTATGCATTCTTTTTTTTCTTAACTCTGTTGCTATCACCTGGCAGGTGGGGAAGGGTGTCCTTCCCCCTTATCTTAGCCCTCCCCCAACTTCTCATGCCCCATGAAAGATAACCAGGTAAGAAGAATGATATGGATCTTCTTCTCACTTGAATGAATCAAGAGTCAACCATTATAAACTTTCTGGGGCTATCAGGACCAGCAGTTATTACTATCTGCTCTGCCAAGCGCTCTAGACCGTTGGACACATTTGACTTGCTGACTTATTGTAAAGGCCCTTGTACCTTGCCATCCATACCAATGCTGCATTCTTAAAACTTTTAGGCCTATTATCTACTTTGTAACTCTTCTCTCTCCTAATAGGAACATGAGTTCCTGGAGAGCAGAGACTTGTCTTGTTTGTTTGTTTGTTTGTTTTAGCTTGTATACTCACAATGTAGTATGCATTAAGCACTTAAAATACTTTTTCACTCATTCTCACCTTCCTGGACCCTTGCCCCACATCTCCCTACTTCAACACTTGCCAATGTAGACTCCTAGATATATAGAGTCACTCAAGGCAGAACCACCAGGCTGGCATCAATATTCTCCACTCTCTCTGATGGTAGCAGAAATGATACTGTAACTGGGAGTTTGGAATGGGATGCTGGAGCCACTGTGGAGCCACTGGGTCTGATTGCTACCTGAGATATTGTATCCCTTACAGCAAAGGGTCACATTCTCTCTCCTGGAAACTCTCCATGAGGGATTCAGGAAGACTACAGGCCTTGAAACCTTCTCTTCTTGCTTCTTCTTGTCATGACCTCTCTCATAACCCTGACTCTTCATACTAATTTATACTTGTTCATAGCTCTCTGCTTTAAACTCTTTCCTGGATATGAATCTTGCCTTCCTCTATCAGAGTAGGAGTCCTAGGAAGGCAAAGGTTTTCCTACACCTTCTGGGTTTCCCTTCAGTGCCCAGGATATCAGAGCCTCAAAGCAAGGCAGGACTGATTGGCTATCATGTGGACTTTTGAATTGTCTGAATTTCTGAGTTTTGACAACTTTATAAATATCCTTCCCTTTGCTTCCCTTTCTACTCTTTGACCCATAGATGCTATTTCAAGGGTTGTAGTCTCCCTGAATCCCTCACAGAGAGAGACAAGGTATAACAAGGAGTGGGAAGCAGGTGGATCAGCATATTTCTGAGAGCAGAAGTCACAAAAAAAAGCAGAGATAGTGAGATTCTGACATTTACTGTGTGACTGCAATTAAATCATTTAACCTCTCTGAATCTCAGTTTTCTAGTCTAAAGATGGTTATAATAATATATGCTCCACCCACCTTGTAGGGTTGTTGTGAGGAAAGTATTTTGTAAGCCTTAAAGGGTTATAGAAATAGGAGCTATTGTTATCATTATAAAATAAGAGGCAACAGGTAGAGGAGACAAAGAAGTACTTACCTGTGGACCTTCCACTTAAAGCTGTAAAAGAACAGAGAGTAATGATCAGCTCCAAGGGAGAAGGGAGTTCCCAGAGGTCCTGCCATTGTCAGAGTAGGAACTGGAATATGTGGGGAAGGTGGCCAGAATTTGAGAGGACAAGAGTTCCAGCGTGCCCTTTTATCTCTGCCCTATGCTGTTGGAAGTACAGGGTTATCTTCAGAACTAGTGTGTACCTACATAACTCTGGCCAGGAGTTGAAAAATATTCTGGGTGCTGAGGCTCCCATATCCTCCTCCTTCCTCTAGTCATACTTAATCAGAGCTGAAATCCCAGTCCAAGTCAGACCTCTGATCTTTCATTGAAGACTTTGGTCAAGGAAAGTATTGAGTGCCTCCATCCAAAAGCAAACCAAAGCCTTCTTTCAATCTACTGACATTGGAGCATTTCTTTGCAAGTCCTTGACTCTAGGGATTCCACACAAATGTGGCCAAAGCCTGAGATTTCTAAGAAGTCAGAGTTGGGGGAATTTCTCACCTGGATTCCTTCAGTCCCTAAAAGGGTCAATGTTCTCCAGGGATTTACACTAAAAGATGCCATCTCTTTATGGGGATTTCTTTCCTCCCTCATCCTCCCTCTGCCTTGGCAGAGGTATATTAAATCAATAAGGAATTAGGGTTGTCAGATTTTTTAAGTCTAGACCTTCATTAAGCTCAGTTCAGTCTTGTTTCTTCTGCCTTCTAGTCAGTCCCCAAATCAGAATCCACAGGCTTAGAGAGAGATCAGAGCTCCCTAGGAAAGATTCCTAACATCCTATCTCTACTTGGGTATCCGTATTAGTAAAAGATCCATCTCTGCATTTTCATCCTTCGATCCCACCATTTTTCAGGCCCCTCTACTTACCACATAGTAGTAGAGTTACCCAAAGCAATTTGGGATTGGATGCAAAACCTTCCATAGGAACATGAGCTACCTCAGCAACCAGCAGGGACTGAAAAGGGAGGAGGGAACTGTAACTGTAACCAATACATGAAAAAAGAGGAAGTATGGTGTTTTTGGTATCGGATCTCATTAGAAACCTGTAGCCTCTTAACTTCCTTCCTTTTCCAGAGATGATTTTCAGTAAGATTATGTGGTTTCACATATTCACATCAACAAATTCACCTTCTCCTCACTTTGCCCACTCCCACAAACCCATGCACTTAACAAAAGTTTGATGGAAGGGAGTAGCCAGAGCAGATTGGTGATTGGGAGAGGAGAGCCATGGGTGTATGAGGATAAATTTGGGGGTGGGATGTAATCAGTTAAACAAGCCACAAGTATTTATTAAATGCTACCCTATGGAGAAGGGGACAGAATATATATTAAGTACCAATTCAAGTAAAAAAAGAAAAAAAGACATTTACCATGTTAAAGGCTCTGAGAGAGACAGAAAGATAAAGATCTAGTCCCTGCCCTCACTGATCAGAGAGTTTTGAACTGGAAGAAACACTGGAGATCACTCTATTCAAAGCTCTGTTTGGATGTCTCGGAGTGAGCTTAAACAGCAATTGTTTCCATCCCAGCCAGAAACTTTGAGACTTTTGTGAAGGCCAACTAGGCCATTGTTTGCCTCTATTCTTACTTAGCCTTTAATTACTGAATGGGTGTTGCCTCAGGCAAATCGAGACCTGGGAAAGACCTAGATTAAAAAGGTCTCCCACTGCATTTAGGACCACTTTCAGTCATTCTGACCTATGTCTTGCCACTGGACTCTGGTGACTTTGGAGGAGACAGTGAGGCTGATGACTTTGCACAGCTCTGCTTTACTCAATCCAATTCACTTGCAAGTCAAGACATCACCCTACTGATATCATTGGTCATCTTCAAGAACAAAGGACAGACAACAACAACAACAATTTTACAGATGTGGAGACTGAAGCCCAGAGGCAAAGTGTCTTGTCCAAGGTCACACAGCTTGTAATTAAGAGCCAAGATTCAAACTTAGGTCATATGGCTACAGAATCAATGGTCTTTCAGTAGCAGGAACACATTCTAGTGGGGCAGAACTGTGACTAGAATTGATTGAATAGGATTCTTCTTCAACATGCAAACATATGATGGGAGAGAGGGGAGATATGATGTTCCTTTACTCCAGAATCCCATTGCCTAGCTGTCATCCACCCCCCCCCAAAAATTCCAGAGTGACCATCATTACTCACTTGCCTGTCCTTGGACTTCTACCCTCTGAGTGTCCCACTGCCATTATGCCCCTTCTCTAGGGCATGCCTTTTTCCTTTTCTATGTCCCCTGCCTTCCACTTCCTCCTTCCCACCTGCCTGCTTCCCGGGCATTTAAAGCATTGTTGGCTGCATATCAAGGGTATAGGCTGGACACTCTGGCTATCCCTTCCCAAAGACAACTTTGTCTGATTGGGGAAGACTGTCCAGTACCCATTCCACAACTGAGTCTGCCCTAATGCAGAGCTTCAACTCTGAGCTGAGAAAATATAACACATGTAATGTGTTATAATATAACACATAATGTTATAATATAACACAACATATAATGTCACAATAATAAGTAGACTGGAGTAAGTCCATGTAAGAGATACAAGATATGATATTACAGAGGCAATGGAGGCTTCTGACTAGACAAATCACGAAAAGCTCTGTGGATGATGTGGCATTCAATCTGGGATTGGAAGTATGGACACTTGAAGGAATTCAACCAATAGAAGGAAGGAGAGCATGAGCAAGCATAGGAAGCAGTGTAAGCACAGTTGCAGAGACAAGAAAGCTCCCAAGACACTCAGAGAAACCAAGAAGGCACAGAGCATGTTAAGTCATAGTGGAGTACAAGGCTGGAAGATAGATTGGAACAAAACTGGTAGAGGGCTTTGGATGGTGTTCTAATGGCACATCAAATTCAGTGTGTCCAAAATTAAACTTCTTATCTTTCTCCCAAAAAACTAGCTTCTCTTTCTCTGTCTCTCTCCATATCTCAATCTCATTGTCTCTCTATTCTCTCTCTCCTTCCTCTGTCTTTGTTTTTGTCTCTCTCTGTCTCTATCTGTCTCTGCCTGTCTATCTGTCTCTTCTTCTTCTTCTCCTTTTTCTTTTTCTTCTTCTTCTTCTTCTTCTTCTTCTTCTTCTTCTTCTTCTTCTTCTTTCTCTCTCTCTCTCTCTCTCTCTCTCTCTCTCTCTCTCTCTCTTTCTCTCTCTCTCTGTGTCAAAGGCAGCACCATTAACAGAATCCACAGCATTAAAGAACTTGGAGTTATCTTTGATTCTTCCTTCTCCCTCACTTTCTCATCTAATCCCTTTTCTTTAGTTTTTAACTCTTTAGTTTTTTAGATCCTACCTTAATATAAGCCCTTATTATCATCTATCTAAGCAAATTTCTCCTAACAAATCTTTGTACCTTCCCCCTTTCCCCTCCAACCTATCTTTCAATTAGCTGTCAGAATAATCCACGTGATGCATAGAAATGGTCCTCTAAACTCTGTTCAATAGTTCAGAGAACCTTCAGTACTCCCCTCTTCTTACCCTAGGGGTTCTTTAACTTTTCAGTTTCAGGGACCCCTTTGCACTTTTAAAAATTTGTGAGAACCTTGTCCCCAAAGAATTTCTGTTTATGTGAGTTATATCTATCAATACTTACAATACTAAAAATCAAAATACCTTAATACTATTATGAAAATTGTTTTTGAGCTCATTGGCCCCCTGAAAGGGTCTTGGGGAACTTTCTAGGAATCCCTACACCATACTTTGAGAACCTTTGGCTTATTAAATAAAGACTACTCTCATTAGCACTGAAGGATCCTCACAATCTGGTGCCATAGTACTTTTACTACCTCACCTGGCTACTACTTCCCATCATGAACTTGATGATCTAACTGACCTAGATTGTTTGCATGCATCCCAAGTTTTCCCACCTCTATGTCTTTGTCCATATTGTTTCTTAAGCATAGAATACTCTCTCTCTACTCTGTCTCTCTCTGTCTGTCTCTCTCTGTCTCTCTGTTTCTCCCACCTCATCAAATTGCTGTAAAATGGAAGCTTTCTCATCCCAGCAGCTAGCACTGTGCTTGGCACATATAATACATGTTTGTTTAATGTCTATTGAAATTCTATCCATCTAGAGAGAGCTAGCTCAACTTATATCCCTTCCATAATTCTTCCTTGATTCCTCCAGGTAGGAATGATCTTTGCTTCTTCAAACCATCCAGTACATTGAGCCATTCTATGGCCTTACCATTGTTCTATTTCACATACATTATATTTGTTTATGTGCCATATGTCCTCTGCTAGATGATGAGCTTCATGAAGACAGGAATTATCTTATTTACATTTATTTCCCCTCTAAAGCTTAGCTCTGGACATAGTAGTCACTTAATGAAAATCTATGCCATTTGAATGATTTCATCCAAGAGGCAGCAAGATTAATCAAATGGATAGAGGGATGACCATAGAATAACTAGGACCTCTGTCTCTGACATGTATTGGCTATGTGACACTGATGGGGTATGGGCCCATCATTCAGTTTCAGAAGCTGAGACCTTTGCCCCTTTCTCCAAAAGGAATCTGGCTCCCGTTTGTCTATGGGTCCCAGAAAACCCTTAAACTTTTAGGTTCCTTATCAACTCCCCTTATCTCCCTTTGAAAGCCCTAGCCCCACCTTTTGCCCTTCATTATCTATTCCCATTGTTTATTCAGTCTCTCAGACCTTCCAATTGGTATTCTTACCTAGACCCTTTTCCCAACCACCCCCCACTTCCTCTGGCAACCCAAAGTTACTTTAGTATATATAAGATCCACCCTGGCCCCCATTCAAATGATGAGATTTTCTCATGCCCAAAAGGCTGAGACTCTCTCATACCTGCTCGTCCCTATGGGCTTTACTAATGTTCAGATTCCTTAAGAGTCTGGCCTATATGATTTATCTCTTATAAACTTTTTCTCTGGCTGGAAGAAGATTTGAGTTGAATTAATTCAGGCAGGGCCACATAGCAATCTTGGGGGTTTCCAGCACCCCAAACCTCTAGACCTCTTCAACACTAGGCAAGTCATTTAACAACTAAGTACTTGAGGCAACTCTCTTAGGACTGAGTTGCAGAGAGATCCAGATCTACATTGGCACTTCATTTGGGAGATTCCTATATCAGTGAAAAGTCATGGGTCTAGTTTCTATCTATAACCCTATCATTTAGGCAATAGGGAGCCATTTTTGATGTGTGATCATTATGAAAATTATTCCTGAAATGCACCTATGGTACATAGGTGAGAATGTACTAGGGCCCTAACTGGGGTAAGAGTCTGTTGAAATAGTTCATCTAAGAGACAATGAGGTCCAGCGAGTCATTTCCTCTGGATTGCCTTCAATGTCTTTATCTGAAAAATGAGAGGGTTAAAATAGATGTTCTTCATCAGTCCCTTCCAGCTTTGATAGTATCTTGATAATTAGCTCTAGAAGAGTTCAGGAAACTCTGATATAGTGGGGGGGGGGAACTGATTACTGATTATCTGCCCTCCAATCCAGGGCTTGTATTGTTCCCTTTGGAGTAACTGTGACTCCTGTTGGCTCATCACAGGAATTATTTGAGCCAGCCCAGAGATAAGTCCATTCTGGAATCTGTCTGTCTAAGCATCTGAAATACTATCATGGGACTGTCAGTGATGAAAAGGAGAAGGTAAGCAATGAGCTGGATGCAGGTAGAGAGGCAAGAAGGGAACTAAGTGGAATTATTAGGTTGTGAACCTTGGAGATAAGAAATTGAGAAGGGGCAACTAAGAGAAAGAAGATAAATTTAGTTTCTAATATGGTAACCAGGGCTGGGCAGGGGCCACAGTTTACCCTTTGTCTACTGAGAATGCTAAGAATGAGAAGTAATAATAATAAATTTCTCTAGCTAAGGCTTTGAGGATTATACAACACTTTCTTCACAATCTTGTAAAAATAGTATTATTCCAGTTTTACAGATGAAGATACTGAGTCTCATAAAG